CACTTTCCAGAACACCTCAACTCGCCTGGACATCGTTTCTGGATGGGCTGGGGGGGCTACGCGACGCGTCTAGAACTTCGAGGCGAATCCAGCGATGGCGACGAGGGCCTGCGAGGAGGCCCAACAAAAAAGGGAGAACGGGGAAGGGTAGATTGAGCAGGGACCGACCGGCCCAGCATTCCTATATATAGGCCTACCACGACATGTTCCTAGAACCCAAAAATGCTCTAAGAGCAAAACAGTGCTCTTGGCACATCAGCCCGATGTGTTGACACAAGACAGTCCCAGCCAGAAGCGTTCGGAGAGCGTCTCGCGGAGACCACAAGAGGTTCTCAGAACATTGTTTGGTAGGCCCATAGGCACGCCAGGACGCTTCGCCACTGCTTGGGTACAGTTTCATCCTCTAGACGACGAGCGACCAGCGGCAGCGGCCACGGCGGGCGACGGCGAGGCCCGTCGCCGCTCGGCGTCGCCGCCTGCACGGTCTACGGTTTCTATTCCACCGGGGCCGTAGGCGACCCGAGGAGGAGGATGAGGAGGAGGAGGAGGAGGAGAAGGAGGAGGAGGAGGTGGAGGAGGAGGAGGAGGAGGAGGAGGAGGAGGAGGGGTCGCCTAAGCTCTTGGGAGAAACCCTCCATCGCTGGCCTTCTTCTGCTGCGCCAGGCCCAAGGCGTCCCCCGCCGTGGCGGCCGCTCGCCCCGCGGCGCCGCCGAGTCTGCCGCGCCGCGCCGCCACGGCAGCGGCGGCGGCTCCTCGGTCGGGGGGGCGGCATCTGGGGCCTCCTCGTCCTCCTCGGCATCTGTCCTCCTCCTCCGCCTCTCCTCCTCCTTCCTCCTCCTCCTCCTTCTCCTCCTTCCTCCTCCTCCTTCCTCTCCTCCCTCCTCCTCCTCCTCCCCCCCTTCCCACTCTCCTCTTCCTCATCCTCCTTCTCCTCCTCCTCCTCCTCCTCCTCCTCCTCCTCCTCCTCCTCCTCGCGTCTGGGCGGGCGGGGCGGGCGGGCAGCGGTAGGCGGCGGCACTTCCAAGAAGCACACCTGTACACGTTGCCGGCGCGAAAGGGCCCCTCGGCCCTCGGCACGGTGAGGAGCCGACTGACCGACGACGAGGGGGACGGCGAGAGGAGGAGCGGGGGAGAGCGGCGAGGGGAGGGCGGCAGGGGGCGGCAGCAGCCGCGGCCGCGCGGCGAACTGGGGCGCCAATGGCACGTCGGTCGGAAGAATCAGGCCCTCCCAGAGAATCACAAGACACATCAGAACCATGCCGATTCTTGAAGCATGCAGGCGCTAGAAGTAGGCTGGGGTCTGGAGATCCAGACATACACACTCTCAACGACCGGCGCGCCACGGTGGGGCGCTCGGTGGGGTGGCAGGGAGGTGCCCTCCTCGGGCCCGGAAGGCCCCCTTTGGGGCCCTATAGGGGCCTCTTCGGGGGCCCTAAACGGCCCTGAGGGCCTCTTTGGGGGCCCTACACGGCCCCCCTTCCTGCAGCCCTCGCTGCCCCCCCCCCCCCCAAGGTCTCGCCCCCCCCCCCCCCCCTTTACGCGTTCTCCCCACGAAGGCCCTCGCCGGAAAGCATGAGCATTCGGCACCATAATCCAGCAACAGGCGCCCGAGGAGCAGCAGGCGGCGAAGGGGCGGGTCGAGGAGCAGGAGGTCGGCCGGTGAGGACGAGCACTCCTACAATGTTCCCGGGGATTCCCGGGAGATGCACGAAATGCGGTATGGGGATCGTGGCCGTCCGGACCACAGCGTGGCCGGCGTGGAGGCGACTGCACGACTCCTGCACGATGCGACCCCACGGACTGTTCACTTCATAAGTACAACGCTGGAGCCAATAATCATCATCATGATAGCAATCCCGAAGATCCCCGGGGCCGGCCGCGACGCGTGCGACTGAAGGGAGGAGGAGGTAAGAGGAGAAGGAGGAGGACGAGAAGGAGGAGGAGGAGGAGGAGGGGGAAGAGGAGGAGGAGGAGGAGGAGGAGGAGGAGGAGGAGAAGGAGGAGGAGGAGGAGGCTCCGCAGCCGTTCTCGCTCAGGGGCTGGAGCATAAATGCGTGAGCGGCCGAAGATCCCCGGGGCCACGTTGCGCGACACGACGCGAACTACAGCAGGCGGCAGAAACTGAAACACGCCGCAGCTCCGTGGCCGCTGCAGCCGCGGAGGAAGGATGACACTCTTCGCCGCCGGGAGCGCCGCACCCCCGCCGGAGCGGGCACGGGAGGGGAGTCCTCCCTGTACAAATCTGGGGCTCGCGTTCCATAGGCGGAGGCACTTCCCAGAAACACATCCGCACAAACTCGTTCGAGTTCCAGAGGTGCGCGCGGGAAGACGAGAACACTCGGCCGATCCGAGAGATCGAGCGCGGACCACTGAAAGCGTACAGTAGGGGCTCGGCCACAAGCAGCCTGCCACGCGAAATGCAACCCTGAGACCCCAGGGCGGCCGTCGATTGTCGGCGTGGGAACGTTGCGCGGTCCATCGCAAAACCCTCGAAGCCCAAGGAACCCAGGGCACCCTGGAGTCAAGCGGGGTGTCTCTTGGCATGGGCCCCGCCGCGGCTGCGGGAAGTGGCGCGGGGGGGGAGGCGGCCCCTCCTGGGCGAGGCGACCGCGTCGGCGCCAGGAGCGGAGGAGGGAGGGAGGCAGGCAGGAGGGAGGAGCAGGGAGTAGGAGGGAGGGAGGGAGGAGGAGGGAGGGAGGAGGGAGGGAGGCAGGACCAGGAGCCAGGCTTCAGTCGGGCATGTCCCTGTACGGCCACGCAAATGGTTCGTCTTCTTCGAGCGTTGAGGCGGAGCCGGCAGGAGGCCCCCCAAAAAAGAAAGCGAGGCAGGATAGCGGTGCGGGTAACTTTTCCTCCTTCGACGACAGACATCGGATCGGATCGGCTGCACGTGATGGTGACCCTGGGCATGAGTGACCCTGGGTGTGCGACTTTCGGGGGCCGCGGGGAGGCCGAACTGGAGCGCGCAGGCCGCTGCTACCGCATCGCGGACAGACATCTAGGGACCCCACGGCGCACGCGCCAACGGTCACTCTAATCGGCGGCCAACCCGGGGGGAAGAGAGAAAGGGCGGGCCTCTCGGAAGGCTCGGAAGTCCCCCGGCCTTCTGAGAAGTCTTCTGAGCTCTCCCCGAAGCCCCAAGAACCTTCTCAGAAGCGCGAGGGCTTCTGAGAAGTCCCGCCGCATTCTGAGAAAGCTTTCTCCTTCTCGTTTCCCCCCTCGCTCGCTGCCGCATGTGATTTTTGGGTCATAACTCGGGTCTCCGGCGGGCGTTCCTGGCGATCCGGGCACCCCCGCAACGCCCGCGGCGAGGCGCAGCTGCTGGCAAGCACCACGGGGCTGGAACAAATCTCCGAGAACTGACGCAAACACCCGAAAACACCTCGGACCTCGAACCCGAAACCGCACCCTTACGTTATCGCCGATTGGATCGATCGGAGCGACCTGGCCCCGGTGACTTGAGCAGGGACCGACCGTCCCGTCATTTCTATAGGCCTACCACGAAAAGCTCATAGAACCCCCCAGAAATGATCTAAGAACAAAAAACGTGTTCTTAGAACGCAGACCCGGGGTGGCAAAACGGGACGGCCTCGGCCAGGAGCCTTCTGAGCACATCTCGTGCACACCACCACCACAACGCTCTCAGGACAGTCTCTCTCGTGGGCCTCTATATGGGCGAGCCAGGACGCCTCGCCACCGCCCGAGTGACGGCGGCGACGCGGCGGCGACGCGGCGGCGAGGCGGCGGCGCCGGCCAGGCGGGCGCGGCGCTCCCGCCACCAGCAGCACGGCCAGGGCCGCGGCGGCGCGGCGCGGCCCGGCGCCCGGCGCCCGCGCGGCGCCCCCGCGCCCGGGGCGCACGAGCTCCGCGCGCTCGGACTCCTCCTGCCACGGGCTGGGCCGCTGCCCCGCGAGCCGGGCCGTCGGAGGAGAGGAGGAGGAAGGAGGGGGGAGGGGGAGGAGGAGGGGGAGGAGGAGGAGGAGGAGGAGGGGGAGGAGGAGGAGGAGGAGGAGGAGGAGGAGGAGGAGGAGGAGGAGGAGGAGGAGGAGGAGGAGGAGGAGGAGGAGGGGGGGCTCTGGGCCGCCTTCTGCGCACGTGCTCAGGGTGGAGGGATCCGGGTGGAATCCATATGGGCTTTCGCAACCCGAAGATGGATCCGTCTTGTGAATCACCTTGTGCAGATTCAGGCCTCGTAACATCCATCGAGGCGGCATTTCAGATCTCACACTTTGCCCCCCACCCAAAGAAAATGCTCGGGTCTTTGGCCTCTGAGGGCCCTCGCTGGGCCTCGGGGGGTGTCAGACACCGACTCGGGACGAAATGCCTGGCCCCGGGACCTGGTCCAGACCTCTCTGGAGCCCACGCATCAAACAAACATGGAGCGGCCAGATGTCTGTATTTAAGCAGGGAGCGAGCGCCCCAACATCCCTGTAGACCTACCACGACAAGTGTTCTCATAACAACGAAACGATGCAGAACAGTGTTCTCAGAACATACAAAGCCGATGCATCGAGCGAGGACGGTCTCAGCCAGAGATGTTCTAAGAACGTGTCGTGGAAACAGTGAAAGGTTATTGGAACATTTGTTGCTGGGCCTACAGGCTAGCCAAGAGGAGCCGCCCGTCCCCCCACTCGCCCCTCCTCTTCGTAGTAATAGTCGTCGTAGTCAGATCCCAATCGTAACCGTCGTCATCGTCGTCGTCGTTGTTGGGCGGCGGGAGCCGCGGGTGAATCACTGTTTTCCGCTACTGGTTGGCCCCGATCCGTCAATAAGGATGTCGAAAGGAAAATGAATTTCCGCTGTTAGGCGGGGGGTCACAATACCCATCTCGGTTGCGGTAGGCTCGTGCGGCGCCGGCGCACGCAAAGGCTTTTGACACCGCGTCGATCGTCCAACCTAAAATCAATTACGGCCCCGACGGTTCAAGGTTGGGACAAACTTGACCGGGATGGCACAGAATTGACCAGTACTGTGTTCGACCACGGGTATAGCAGCACCGACGCTACACAAACCTTCAAGCAGCTGCATCCTAAGACGGAGCTGAGAAGGAGAGAGGGGAGGGATTGTGATCAGAGTGAACCCAGGATGTTCCAACGATGCTGCGGAATCCCCTCCCTTCCGAAGTCCCCTTTCCACAAGACTCTACTTGTAGAGGTACTCATTTCTACTGAAGGGTGTGCCCAACTTGGACGACGAGCGCTGGGTGGAACGGATAGTCGGGCGAGGCCCTCTAGAAGTTTCACAGCGAGGAATAACGATTATGTGTTGTCCAGCGATGCCCATGATTTGAAAGACACCTGCCTTCCGCACGTGTAGATACCACAATGACCAAGGCAAAGGCCGTAGTGCCGAAGGCACGCTCGTTTGGCCTAAGGCGGCCGCCCGCTGCTGCTGCTGCTGCTGCGGAGTCTGTCGCACCGAGCGCCCCGAACTCCGTGTCGTCCGCCATGGGCGCCCAAGAACAGACGTCGCTCGGATCTGTCCTGTCGCAATTCAGCCGCTAATCCGCATAGCGGAGATGCCGCAATAACCTCCTGTGGGTGATAACGAGGTCGGGGAGCTGACATCATCTTTGGTGTCCATTGGCCGCACACTTAAAACCGCGAATGCATACACATCGGGACATTAATCTTGGTTGGAATCCCCAATGCTGTCCTCTCTCTGTCAGTCGTCCGATCTCACTATCGAGACAGCCATCCGGACAACCTCGGAACAACTATCAGGCCAACCATCCCAGCGTCGAAGAAACGGCTGCACTGTGTTCTGAGGCGTCGGAGTGTTGCACTCCGTCGTGCTGTTGCACATCCCACTGCTGGGCCCTATCGTACCACTAAGTGGTGTACTGCTGGCAAGCACGGTCGGAACAACCATCAGCTCCTGACGATTCTGACGACGATGATGATGATGCTGATGATGATGAAGAGAATGCTGATGATGATGCTGGTAAGCGATTACGATGATACTGTCTGTTTTGTTGATGATGGGGATGATGCTGAAAACGAAGAAGATGATGACGAGGACGACGATAATGATGATGCTGATGATAATTGCGATGCTGGTAATGACGATGATGACGATGCTGAGGCTGGTGCTGATGACGCTGCGTATGGTGATACTGGTGGTGATGTTGAGGATGATGCTGCGTATGAAGATGCTGCTGCTGAGAATGAAGATGATGATGACTATGACGATGATGATGCTGATGATGGTCAAGATGGTAATGACGATGATAACGATGCCGAGGCTGATGCTGATGATTCTGCGGATGGTGATACGGGTGGTGGTGTTGAGGATGATGTTGATAATGAAGATGCTGCTACTGAGAATGAATCTGATGATGACCAGAACGATGACGATGATGATGATGATGATGATGATGATGATGGTGATGCTGCTGATGATGATGATGATGAGGATGACGGTGATGGTGATGCTGGTGGTGACGGAGAGGATGATGCTGATGCTGATGCTGATGCTAGTGGTGATGATGATCATGCTGATGATGATGATGATGACGATGATGATGAAGATAATGATGATGATGATGATGATGATGATGATGATGATGATGATGATGATGATGATGATGATGATGATGATGATGATGATGATGTTGATAATGATGATGCTAACGTTGGTGATTATGATGATGGTGATGCTGATGTTGCTGCTGATGATGATGATGATGATGATGCTGCTGCTGGTGCTGGTGCCGCTTGGCACGTCGCCTGAGAGGGGGCCCCACCTCAAGGCCTCACTGGGATTGAGGCTCTCCGCTCAGGTGCTGCCTGTGTGTGCTGGGAAGGTGGGTATCTTGACCCATCCCCTTACCTCCTCCCCGTGGGTCTGTACGGGTGACTCCGCGACGGGGTAGAGCGCCCAAGATAGTCGATGGCTCCGACAAGGCCCCGTAAAGCCCAGGATGACTCGAATTGCTCGAAGGATGCCTCAGGGAGCGTTCAATGCCGCTCCAGCCCGGCTCCAAGTGGCCACGTAGCCTCTCGAGGTTGCACCCAGGAGACCCATATCCGTCTGGCACCGTAGGAATTCAAATGATGCTTGCACCCTCCAGATGGATCCACGATGGCCCAGGAGAGCCCCACGGTCCAAGAGAGGCCTAAGAGATGGCCCCAAGAAACAAGAGCGCCCTAGAGCGTCCACAGAGCTTTCTAAGAGGTCCCCAAGAGTTTTCGGGTTCCGGAGGGGCGGGGTTAAATTTGTACGCCCACTCCCCGCTAAACGCAAATTCATATCGGCATCTCGGGGGATCCGCGGGAGGCGTGTGGGCCAACATGGCTCCAAGATAGCCCTGGATAGCAAAATAAGGCCTCCAATATTGCGCGGGATGGCCCAGGATAACTCAAGAGGTTCTCCAATCCGCCACTGTGCCCCCTTGCACGTTGTGGCGCGCAAGAATGCCAAGTGCTGCCGGGTAGGGTTTCTGTACTCTTCTAGCGCCACGCTGCGCCATATGCACTGCCGCCCCCTCTCGAGGCCACAATAATTTGTAGGATGCGGCAAGTTCGCGCCCCCGCTGCCAGAAACCCTTGTAAACTACAGCAGACTCGAGCTCTCGAGGCGGCAGTGCACAGAACAAATCCAAGACGGCCCACGAAGGCATCCCATGGGACCCATTACGGCCTTAGAAGGCCGATCGGCGGCCCAATCTTGTCTTCAGACACCCACCGTACGGTCAAGAGGGCACCAAGACGGCCACGAAAGCCCCACGACTGCGTAAGAGGGCAACAAGACGGCCCAAGAGGGCCCCAAGGGACCCCAAGACTGCCCCACAGGATGCCATGACAGCCCGAAGACGGCCCAAACGCATTCCACGAGAGCTCCTCAAATCCGCCACCGTGCCGCTGGGCACGGAGTGAGCGTATCCTCAGGTCCTTTGCCCAATCCTCTGAGCCTCAGTCCTCAAACCTAAGGGTTCTTAAACGGCCTGGACCCCGAATTCTCAAATCTTCTTGGGTCTGGCGCGGTTCCCCTGGCCACCAGGGCATCTTCTCGCAAGACGGGCAAACAAAGGGCCCCTCAAGACCCCAAAGACGATCCAAAAGGGCCCTGGGTCGCCCACCGCTCGCTCCAAGAAGCTCAAGATGGCCCGCAGAATGCTGGAATTGGTGTTGAGACCCGGGATTGGTGTTTGTCGTTGCTGTATGTCCTTGATCGTTGGTCTTGGCGTTTGTTGTTTCATGCCTGTTCGAGACAACGAAAGCGCTGTGCATAGAGCTATATGTGTATATACGTATATCGGTCGGTGTATATCTATGTGAGAGTGAGGGGGCCGAACGGTCATTCATTGTCCCTGGGTGCGTGGCTGAATATGGAATTCGTGGTGAGAATTCTGCTTGTTGCGTTGTTGTTGCGTTGTTGTTGTTGTGGTTGTTGTTTGTTGTCGTCGTCCCACCTACGACCCAACCGCGACCCAACCCGCGACCCAACCGCGACTCACCCCGCGACCCACCCGCGACCCACCCGCGACCCAACCCGCGACCCACACGCGACCCCACCCGCGAGCCACCCGCGAGCCACCCGCGACCCACCCGCGACCCACCCGCGACCTACCGCGCGACCCACCCGCGACCCATCCCGCGACCCATCCGCGACCCATCCGCGACCCATCCGCGACCCACCCGCGACCCACCCCACGACCCACCCTCAAGGGAGGAAAAACCACCCGGACCCGACAATTGACGTTTACGAAACGGCCCTAGGCGTTGACTAAACAGCCCTGCCCTGTTCGATTCATTCATTGTGTGCGTTTACTAAACGGCTTCGCTTGTCGGGGTGATTATGATGGGGTGGATTTTATGCCATCTACACCCGCGACCCAACAACGACCCACCCGCGACCCACCCGCGACCAATTTGCGACCCACCCGCGACCTACCCACATTAGTTCAACGAAACAGTCGGCGCCTGCGGCGGGCTCGTTGTGTAATTTGTGAAACTTTGGCGCCTGCGGCGGGCTTCTCCAGAGTCTCGCAAACTGCCGACGTCCCCACCGCCTCCGCACTCTTATCCGCACCTGCGGGGTGCTACGTACATATAAAAGTGGGTGCCTTCGAGGCCTGTTCCAAATTCCCGTGGACGGCGCGACAACGTGACGGCTGGACGGCGAGACGCATCACTGGTGGTGCTCGGCGAGCCGGGATACCCTGAGGCGTTCAGGGAGTCTTCGGTCTGGGCGGCCGCGGTATGCAGGGGTGATGAGGCGGGATACTCAAGGACCGGCAAGCCCAGCGGCCGCAGCATGCAGGGTTTGCGGACGGCTTCCTCCTCCAAGTCTGACGGCCCCAGCCTGTCGGGGTGCGAAACCACCACGTCGACGACTCCGACGATGAGAACGACGATCGAAAGCGGCTCTCACACCCCAGATCGACGTTTGACTGCCTCTGGGCCTGTAACACGCCCCTAGAGGTCGAAATCGATGCAAATCCTCCGACCGAAAACTGATAAGCACTCGCGAGGACAACAACAATAATCATATTCAGACAGTTCCTTCTCATCTGCTCGCATGCCAATCAACATGTACATTCTAAACCCTCGACGCCCACCCACCTCGTCCTCGATCGTACCAACCTTGCGGGTAGATGTCTTACCTGCCACAGGCAGTTGGCGCAGCCCCCGAACGCATGAAGGGGCGGGAGACGGGAAACAAGAGGGAGCCCTGGAAGCAAGGGAGGAGCGAAGGGACACATGGGAGGAAGAGAAATGAGAGAAAGAGAGAGAGACTCGCAGGGAGAAGGATAGAGATGCGGGAAACACGCGGCAGAACCAAACTGGCGGTATGTTGGGCCTGTCCCCCTAAAGGGCGGATTTTCGACGAAAAATAAGAAATACCCGAAACATAATAATAAAAAATGCTCCAAACATTGCCTGGGGACTATTTTTGAATATTTGTTGACCTTTTTGCGATATTTTTGGGGTATTTCTTTTTCGTCGAAAATTCCCCTGTAGGGGACACGCCCGACATAAGACTGGCGGGTCGGGGGGGCGGACCCTGACGGGCGGGTCGAGCGGGCGGGCCCAGGCGTGCGGGTCAGCGGGCGGGTCGCTGCAGCGTGAGTCCTGCACGCATCGCAAGGACGTCCCCAGCGTTAGCGCGATTCCCAAACACATAGTCTGAGGACGTCCCGAGCGACAGCGTGACTCTCGAGTATCGAGGAGCTGCGTCTAAATAGATGCACAAGAGATATCAAGCGGGAACCGATTCTGCAATAGTTGGGGGACCACGGATGAAGTTGTGACACCGACGCCTCCCCTTGTCAAAAAACAAGGAGCTCGCCCCGGGATGGGCACTTCAATTGAAAAACCAAGGTGGGCACCGCAGGGGGGGGGGATCAATCAGCACTGCCCTTTACAAACATTACAACTGAACAACGACGACAACGACGAGGACAGAGGCGGCAGCAACGACGACGACGACCGCGACTGGCGGAACAGAAGATAGCAATACCGCTTCTCTCCGGATCTCTCCCAGGGCGCGTTCTGACCAGGACTCCGAGGCGAGTCCTGCCGTGGCGACGACTACCCCCCAAGAGGCCCTGACGAAGTAGTGGTAGCGATGCCAGCATCCTATCCTCCCGTGGGTGACGACGACGACGACGACGACGACGACGACGACGAGCCACCTCCACGAGGCTGCACGTAGCCGAGTCGGCCGGCATGGCTAATTACGGCGGGCGCTGCGGAAAATACGAGGGCGCGAGGGTCGAAGCTTGCGCTATACCCGCCGCGCCGAGGCGTGCCAGCCAAAAACTGCAGCGCGGGGGCACGGCGCGGCCGGCGAGGATGGTGGTGACGAGGGGGGGGGACAGGAGGGGCAGGGAGAGAGAGGGAGGAGGGCGAGGGGAGGCAGGGAGAGGACTGGAGGGTAGGGATGGACTGGAGGAGGGGGGACGGGTGAGGGTGAGAAGTAGGAGGAGGGGGGAATGGGGGAGGACGGGGAAGAGGGCGAGGAGACAAATTGTTTTATGTCGACTCCTCCATGTCAACAGTCATAATGACAAGGGCGAGAGCACGAGCTTGACGTTATACTCCCCCTTCTTCTGCTGGGGGGGCCTGCCTTGTTCGAAACAATTCCAGGAAGTTCTACCCGCACCTGGAGACTCTTTACGATTAAGCTGTTCACCCAATGTGACGACCCTTGGTTTGGTGATGTAAGAGGGGCAACACATACACATGCAAAGCAAGGTGCCTCCAGGGCAATGCAGCACACCACAGCGGTGCTTCATCGGCGCAATGATACACTAATGTTAGGAAGGTGAGGGGGCTTGGAAAAGGGGCTTTGAGGCGGGCGATCGACGCCCCGCTTCCCCCTAAACAAAGAGAAAACTGAACAAATCGTTTCTCACCCGCGCCCAGTCGTGCTCAAGCTCCGACTCCGAACTTCTAGGCTTGGGTGCCCTAGAGAGTCACTATCACGGGGCCTCTTTTTCTAGGGGGCATCGATAGGGGGGACTGGCATAGGGGGGAAAACATCGACCTAGAATCGGCGATACATCGCCGATAGATCAGTCATAGGCCCCCGATAATGAATCCGCACGTCCCTGAGCAGGTTGGAGCTATCGGGCCCCTATCGGCGATCAATAGACCACTGGGGGTCGACGCATCCCCCCCAATGCCAATCTCTCCCGATCGACGCCCCCGAATACCACGGGGCATCTTTTCCCCCGCTGATCAGAACTCCGCTCCAAACCGGCCTCGTCCCAGATCAAAATTCGAGTGCCACGGCGCACCAAAACGACCCCTCAGAGCAGAATACGCGCGACAAAAGAACACGCCTCGATCCTCCGACTGCCCCAGACATCGAAGGATGTTTTTTTGTTTTCGTATCGCTCCCCACGGGTCTCGACCACATCCCAAGAGACATTTTTTCGGCCCAAATCCAATGTTCATTGTCCCGGGGCCCCATAACGGCCCGCCCCTGGAGGCAGAACATCATAGGAGAAACGCCAGGATTGAAACAAATAATGCTTCGGATGCCTGGGTCCCTTTGGCCCAGGCCATCCGAGGTGTCAATCTGGCTTTCGGGTCACAACTCGGGCCTCCTGTTGCAGCTCGGCAAGATCTGGGCACGCCAGACACTCTCGGCGAGGTGCATCTGTTCGATAGCTTTCTGAAGCTGGAAAACGCTGAAAATCGACGAGATGATGGAAACCTCCCAAGTGGGGTCCGAGCAAATAAGGTCGGAGGACCTCGCTGCATCGCCGATGCATCGGTGACATCGGCAATGCACTGGCACCGCTGGCGACGACAAAAACGGGATCTGCATCGAGCCGCATCGCCGATGCATCCGCGATGCGGCTCGATCGTCTAACCCCGTCTGCCCGGATCCCATCTAGGAGGCCTGGAAGAGAATGATGTCATGCTGCGATCGGTTCCGGATGTGTTCCAGCCTGGAATATCTAGAGTACTGGAACTTCCAGGAGTTCTGGAATATCTAGATCTAGCGGCGCTCGCTTCTGCAGCCTGTGTGGAACTAGCGGGAATCTCCTGTTACAGGAGATGTGTCGACCCCTGTCCCCGGCTTCTTGGGTCTTTCAAATGGACCAGATTTGTTTCAGCAGGGGCCAACCGTCCATTCCGATAGGCCTACCACAAAATATTCAAAACAATGTTCTTAGAACGTAAGGCCAGTGTACCAGAACAAGACAGTCCCAGCCATACATGTTCTAAGAACATGTCGTAGAAACCACAAACGGTCGTTAAAACATTGTTCGGTGGGCCTATAAGCACGCCAGGACGCTTTGCCACTGCTTGAAACTTGAGATGACCCTGGGGTATACGATGGGGGGCGCCCATTCTCGATAATGGTATGTCCGAATCAGCCCCCTGGAGTGTAGCCCCGAGTTTCCTTGATTTTCTGCGCGGTGTCATGTCTCTTGGAAAACTCCAGGGTTCGGGGAGACAAATCGTCTGCTATCTGAGATCCTAGAACCCTTGGAACGCGTCATTGTCCGGACTCATTACAGGCGACGGGGGTCTCGGACCCGGGCCCCAAAAAAACCGAGGCTCTGCCCGTCTCTAGCGAGCCTCCCGGCCAGCACCTCGGGGCGGAACCGGCCACGGCGCCCAGGGAAGGCCGCAAAGGACCAAAACACCGGCCACTGACGGCAATCCTAGACGTCGGCGGCGCCGATACATCGCCGACGTCGCCGATGCATCGGCGATGCGGCTCAATCCTCCGACCCCATCAGCTCGGACCCGAGCTGGGTGGCCTGGACATGAGAAGCTGGATGTTGCTAAAAGTACACCTGGCCTTAAAAAAAACACCTGTTCGCTCCACTTTGGGACCCCTGGGGCCATTTGGGCCTCGCGAGGGGTGCTCTAGAGGCCGCCTGGGCTACCCAAAAAATCCTGGGGGCACCTGGGGCCAGAAGCATTTACGGCAACACCCGACAGGGAGAGGATAGTGTTCCAAATTTCCAATGCTTGATTTCCCGATACGGCCGGTTTCATATATCCCGATTCGATCCTGTTGAAGGTCGTGGGGCTCAGCGAGGACCCCAAAAGGACGAAATCGGCGAAACGCCTCCGCACTGACGGTGTCAAGACGTCTGAGATTCGGGGCCCAGAACACCTCCGAGTTTCCAATACGCGATGCGATCTTGGCAAGGACCAACCACAACGATCATTCAAAACGGAATAGCGCTTATAACGAACAACGGCACGAAACCCGACGTTGAGGCCGAACATTGAAAATTATCCTGGCGAAGGACCCAACCATATGCAATTGTGAATACTGCAATTGTGAATATCTTCTCGGTGGAGCCCCCTACGGGGGCACGAAACGTACGAGGGGTGTGCCGAAATGGGTGTGGGTGACGCATGCGGGCACACCCACTGGGGCCTTCGGTGGAGCTCTCTATGGGGCCACGAAACGTGTGAGGGGTGTGCCGAAATGGGTGTGCGGGACGCATGCGGGCACGCCCACTGGGACCTTCGGCGGAGCTCCCTATGGGGCCACGGAACGCGTGAGGGGCGTGCCGAAATGGGTGTGGCTGACGCATGCGGGCGCGGGCACTGGGGCCTTCGGCGGAGCTCCCTATGGGGCCACGAAACGTGTGAGGGGTGTGCCGAAATGGGTGTGGGTGACGCATGCGGGCGCGGGCACTGGGGCCTTCGGTGGAGCTCCCTATGGAGCCACGAAACGTGTGAGGGGTGTGCCGAAATGGGTGTGGGTGACGCATGCGGGCGCGGGCACTGGGGCCTTCGGTGGAGCTCCCTATGGAGCCACGAAACGTGTGAGGGGTGTGCCGAAATGGGTGCGGGTGACGCATGCGGGCGCGGGCACTGGGGCCTTCGGTGGAGCTCCCTATGGAGCCACGAAACGTGTGAGGGGTGTGCCGAAATGGGTGTGGGTGACGCATGCGGGCGCGGGCACTGGGGCCTTCGGTGGAGCTCCCTATGGAGCCACGAAACGTGTGAGGGGTGTGCCGAAATGGGTGTGGGGGACGCATGCGGGCGCGGGCACTGGGGCCTTCGGTGGAGCTCCTATGGAGCCACGAAACGTGTGAGGGGTGTGCCGAAATGGGTGTGGGTGACGCATGCGGGCGCGGGCACTGGGGCCTTCGGTGGAGCTCCCTATGGAGCCACGAAGCGTGTGAGGGGTGTGCCGAAATGGTGTGGGTGACGCATGCGGGCGCGGGCACTGGGGCCTTCGGTGGAGCTCCCTATGGAGCCACGAAACGTGTGAGGGGTGTGCCGAAATGGGTGTGGGTGACGCATGCGGGCGCGGGCACTGGGGCCTTCGGTGGAGCTCCCTATGGAGCCAGGGGTGTGCCGAAATGGGTGTGGGTGACGCATGCGGGCGCGGGCACTGGGGCTTCGGGGAGCACCACGAAACGTGGGTGACGCATGCGGGCGCGGGCACTGGGGCCTTCGGTGGAGCGTAGGAGCCACGAAACGTGTGAGGGGTGGTGCCGAAATGGGTGTGGGTGACGCATGCGGCCGCGGGCACTGGGGCCTTCGGTGGAGCTCCCTATGGAGCCACGAAACGTGTGAGGGGTGTGCCGAAATGGGTGTGGGTGACGCATGCGGGCGCGGGCACTGGGGCCTTCGGCGGAGCTCCCTATGGAGCCACGAAACGTGTGAGGGGTGTGCCGAAATGGGTGTGGGTGACGCATGCGGGCGCGGGCACTGGGACCTTCGGTGGAGCTCCCTATGGAGCCACGAAGCGTGTTGGGTGTGGCCGTAAATGGGTGTGGGTGACGCATGCGGGCGCGGCACTGGGGCCTTCGGGGCGGAGCCTTCCCTATGGAGCCCACGAAGCGTATGAGGGGTGTGCCGAAATGGGTTGGGTGACGCATTGCGGCGCGGGCACTGGGCCCTTCGGTGGGCTCCCTATGGATCCACGAAACGTGTGGGAAAAAAATAAGGGGGTGTGCCGAATGGGTGTGGCTGGCGCATGCGGGCGCGGGCACTGGGGCCTTCGGTGGAGCTCCCTATGGAGCCACGAAACGTGTGAGGGGTGTGCCGAATTGGGTGTGGGTGACGCATGCGGGCGCGGGCACAGGGGCCTTCGGTGGAGCTCCCTATGGGGCCACGAAACGGTGTACTGGGTGGGTGAAGAGGAGAGGAGGAGAGGAGTGGAGGAGAGGAGAGGAGAGGAGAGAAGAGGAGAGGAGAGGAATGATGATGATAATGATGATGATAATGGTGATGATGACGATGATGATGATGATGATGACGATGAGGATGATAGGAGGGGGGAGGAGGCGGAGGAGGAGAGGAGGAGAGGAGACGCGGACCACCGTCTCTTCAAAACGAGGACCCAACACCACAGGATGGTTGGGAACAAAACCGGTGCCAAACGAAAACGAACGACGAAGCGGAGCGTTGAAAGCAA